TTTAATGAATTTTTAATTAAGTTAATACTCTTTTCTCGTACTTATAATCATGTTCTTTCATCACGCTTCGAAGCAAATTAAAATAATTAATACTTTCATACTGCGAATTAATTGTATCTGAATGTATGATTTATGATTTAGAATAAGCAAATACCCCGTGTCCGTTGTCGGGATATGCGAAATGATCCTTTTTTCGCAAATGGCATGTTTAATAATACACCTTAGAGATATCCGCAGATTTGCTCTTACAACTTTACTTTCGAATGCAATATTTTGAGCCGCGGAGAAATTGCGGTTTGACCTTGATCCAAAGAAATGCTGTTACAAACATGTTTCTTATGATGGGTCAGGGGAGGGAAACGGAAAAATCCTTGATAATAAAGGCTATATATATCAAAAATAATAGTAGTATAAAATTTTTAGAGAAACCTTACTGCACTTACCAAAATTTCGACATACAATTTGATGTCATTATCAAAGTACACTAAATACAAATAGGACATACACATTGGCTCATATACACCACACTCTTAATTAGTAGTCAAATTAAGTAACTCCTTGAAAAGATTACATTAACGAATAATTAATTCAAAACACTCAGTGATTTGTCATTAGTTTGAATTGATATTGAGTTGAGTTATGTTGAAAGAATGAAAACCTAATTATAAACAAAAATTATTTTTGGTTTTGTTTCGTAAAAATTCTAACCTCCACCTATTTTTTGTGAAGACAATGTTTGAAATCTCATGATTTTTTCAAAACTTTCATTCGTTTTTCTTTTGGTTGTCCATCCCTGACAATATCGTGATTTATCCCATCATCATCATGATGTTCTACAAAATCACTTACTGTTAACTATGATTATTCATACATAATCATAACATAATTTATTCTAAAATCCATATATCAAAATTGTTATTTTAATTACCTTGGTATACTTAAAACCGTACTCACATAATACAAGCAAAATAGTACGTTACACATTTACAACTATTAATTAATAAAAGTTGATATACTTTATTTCATCATTTTATTCAAGTTTTAATATATTTAATCATTTTTAACAGCATAAACTGCTTTATTTTTAAGTCGAGTCAATTTTTTTTATTATTATCTCTTTTATTTACAACTGTCCAGTAAAGGACAATAAATTTGATTCAAAAATTTAACGTAAAAGAATCAATTTGAAAAGCTGGACGTAAGCCACCTGTTCTTTCACGGAAATGTATGTATATCAGATATGGAAATTCATAAATTTACATAATATGCGATTCTGAGCTAAATTTATGTACCGACAGGTAATTAAAACTATTGTAGATAGTAACCATATGTTATTTATTTATTTTTATTTTATCATACTTTGAACTTTAAATATATAAAATAATAATAATAAAGAGCGAGTAGCAAGTAGGAAAGTAGGAAAGTAAGATATAAAATAAAAATCTTAATGTTGCAATAAAAATGAAAATGTTATTGAACTGAATTCATCGAATTATGATAAACAAAAGTTATATTTTAGTTTGTGTAGAAATTTTATATCATGCTATGTAATTGATGATAATCATGGGTAAACGCACAGGAACAAATGTAAAACATGAAATAATATAATAACAGCTTTTTTATGTTGTATTGTTTGATGTGTGATGAACTATCAATTAAATTATAGTACAATTTTATGAGCTATTTGGATACAATGTTTAATGAAAATAGTATATGAATTATGGTAACATTCTATAATGTTTCTTAGACCAACATCTTGTTAGCCTAATTTTTGAAGCTGGCAACATATAAATATAAAATACTAGCTAACCCGGGAAATGTTGTTTTGCTAAGTATGGTATTTCTAAACAATTTTTAGGAATTAAACAACTAATACTTTATTTTAAGACTGCAAGGATATGTTGTTTGAATGGTACAGACAATGAGGTATTATAAACACAATAATCCCCAAAGTGTTCTTGTATAATAATGAATTATATATTTCGTAATAACAATATTCATTTGTCCATATTTTGGTATTACAATCAAACCGTAAGTTTCATACACTTTCTATGAAAATATGGTATAATTCAATCCAAGTCTTTTTTAGTCCTTAGCCATGGTCAATGTTCAGTTGGTCATTTTTGCTCCACACAGATGTAAGATTTTAAAGTAGTTATATAAAGAAAACTGGTGAATCTCACTGAAAATTAACATTACATTTTATAAAACAGTAAAATAGCGTATAGTTAAAATTTATATTGAGATCTCGTGAACTAAATCACAGTGCTCACAACCCAAAAAACTAACAATAAAATGAAATACTTTCGTTATTGATTTTCAAAGATTACCGTTTATCTCGCGATAGCAAAGTCAAGGTTATAGCTGGTTATACATCTTTTCCCCTCTACTTTCAAATATTGTTGTTGACCAATGCTAAACTTTACTGGTTTTTGTGATATTGTACTTAACTATGGGAAAATCGGACAAAAGAGTATGTATGGACAAAATTGTTATATGGACAAAATGACACTGAGGCTTTATTTAAAAATTGGCTAGTTTTAGTATCGTTTTCGTTTCTGTATAATATGAAGAAAGCCATAATCAAAACCCTGTCAGACGTAGAGCGTCATTGTCACAATTTTGTCGCAGTAATTAGTTTAAACGCATAATGCAAAAAAATATATTTGAGTTTTTTTGGCACTTTTACATAGTTATTTTGAACTATATTATATAGTTATTTAAATGAACTTATGGCAGTACTAGTGATTTTGATCTATTTTATTGCAATTATCAGGCGTTTGTTGGAATTTTGATCATTTTTGTATATTGTCGTTATTATGGCTTTCTTCATATTACAGTCGCGGAAATAATACTAAACCTTAGCCATTTTTTGAAAAAAAAATAAGGCCACTGTGTCATTTTGTTCATATAATAATTTTGTATGCCTTAGTAAGAACTATAATAACATATTTATTTAGGACAAATGCAACTAATAACGAAAACCCTATTGCCCATACAGTACGGACAAAATGACGTATAGGGTGAGAGCATATTTATTTATTTATTTATTTATTTATTCATAAGCAAGCCGTAATCAATAATAATAGATATTATTTCAGGTTCTTGTCAAGCTTATTCATAACTAATATTAAAAGGATAGAAATTTTATAATAATCATAGTAGATGCACGAATTTAGCTTCTGGAAAAAAGAGCTGAAAAAAAAGCATTTGAACATTAAATACAATGTACATAATCAAGTTCATCATATTAAAGTCTATTTGACCACCAGTCAAGCTCAAAATTCTTGCACAAGGTTGTAAGTTATACTCATTTAAAACCGTAAAAATTTTAAATTAAAAAAATAGCAATAAAATAAAATAAAAAAAACTTGTACAGGCGATCAAATGGCCAACATACTACTTTGATAAAGGATAAGGATTACGCAAGACAATAGTTATTGAAATCAAATTGAGAAAATTCAGTAATGTCATAAAAAACTAATTCTTTAAAAAGTTTGACTAGGGAAGCATGAAATTTTTTGCTGTCTAAGTTTCGGATATTGAGTGGAAGTTTATTCATAAGCTGAATACCTAAACCGTCGATCGTATTGAAAGAGCTCGTTAATTTATATGTGCGCATAATTTTTAAGGAACTTCTTACTTATTTAATAAGACTCTGTATTACTGGTAGCCAGTAAATCTAAGATGAGTAAAAACAATTAATACTGATTTTAATATTATTAAATAAATAAATATCATTTAAAAACAAAACACCACATCATTTTGTTCGTACTTCCCCTACTTATGGCAGTACTAGTGATTTTGCTCTATTTATTTGCAAAATTGTCATCAATATTATAAATTTGCCTAAGCATTTGCCTAGCATTATGATAGTTTTTTTTCCCGCTGGATTTCGATAAATTACCAGAAATACAATAGGCATTATAAAAAAATTTCAATAATCGCAGGCGGCACTACGGTACCCGTGCGTGTGTACGATAAATTTCAAAATATTCTATCGTTTCCTGTGCATAACAAAACGGAAGTGTCGGCGCACTCAAGCGTAATAATTCCATTGGAACCCTTCTGCAAACTGCGCCAACCAAACGCTGATGGATAAAAATTAGTCCACTAGTCGTCGGAGTCGGACATGTTGTCGGGAAAATAATGTTGATGATATTCAGTTGCGAAAAATGGAAAGAAAATTGTTAAATTTGCCTGGAAAATCGGGGGTTTTACGAGTGTTATGTGCATGAGTAGTTGCAGTGTGGTAGGCGAATCAGTTGGTTGATCAGTCGCAGTGTGAAATTGTGAAGTGAATTGGGTTGTTTTTATTCATAAGACAATTTAACATCTGCTGATACTTGTGGAGTTTTGGGCACAAATTTTAGTAATACGATAGTTCAAATACCATAGTTCAAAATCGCGGAATGACACTATATAGAAGTTATTAAACTACTTAAAAATGATAATAGGTTATCATGAACCTTTTAATATTTTTTACTCATTTTAATTCAATTTTGTCTAACAAGTGTAAGCCAAAATGTGTATTTTAATAAATTATTTTTTATTTTTCAAATAGCTTTATGTTCAGTTAATTCAGCATTTATTTTAAAAATAATTGCGCTTAGTTTTTTTTTCAAAATACCATTGATCACAACAAGTGGCTTTGCAATATTGATATATGAGGAAGACAAAAGACATTTTTTCTCAATTTACTACTATGTCTATCTACTAACATGCCTAAAGCAAATTCTTTCAATCGAAAGATAAAATGTTAGAAGGTCTTCTAAAATGCCATTTGAAATTTTGTGGATGCTGTGTTCGAAAAGATAAATGGAGCCCTCACACTCCGAGTTTTAAAACCAAATGTAGCAATCAGTACGACATGAATACGAAACAGTATTTTTCATACAAACAACAGAGTAACATTCATGGAGGTAATAAAACATACAGTGTATAAAATATTAATATTTAATACATATTTATATCAATGGATCAGGAATCATAAAACTCACCACTCACTCGATTTTTATCATCCTTGCATCTGGGGTATTAATTTGCAATCTGTAAAGAAAAATAAAAGGTGTTAATATGATATCTTGTTGTAGGCGCATCCAGAATTACAACAGCTATAATTAAATTTATTCGGCTTTTGTGTTAATTTTATTATAAAAATCAGTTGTCAGTTATGTTTCACAATAATAATGAAGTAATCACGTTGTTTAAGTTCTATTCACAAATTTTTATTATTAAATCGATTATTCATTCCACAAACACTTGCTAAAAATATAATTAACAATTATAATTTCTATAAATTTGGAATGAGAAATGGCGGTAATTAAACGCGCGGCATAGATTCATCAGCCTCTTTATTCTTTATGTCTTTTATGATTTATAAAGCCATTTCTACATAAAAATAATTCAATAGTCATGAATAAACCATTGATCTTTTAATTATAAAAAATAATGGAAATAATATTTCGCATATGAAATATTTGCGACTTTCTCTAATAACGAATTTTTCGAATTCGGTTTTGCAGATTGGATTTTATGTAAAAAATTTAACGCTCCATATAGCGATGACGCGGGGAGAATTGTTACCATCTCGAGCGATGGATCTCGAAAATCTTCGGAAAAGGATAAAAAAATAGTTGAAAAAATTGAGAAGAAAATATTGAAGAATATTAAAAACCAAGAACAGAAAAAGAGAAAGAAATTAGCTAAACAGAAATTGAAATATGAAAAACATATTATTAACCATATAAGAGTACGTGTGATAATAACATCGAGGTTTTTGAGATCGCGGACACCTCGTCCTTATTCCTTTGAGAGCTGGAGCGATGGCTCCCAATCGCAGCAGGATGTTTTTTTAAATGAAATATATCAAAGTGAAACTATCAACCCACTTTATTCAAGTGTGATCAAAGATAGAGTTGAACCATTTTCGCAATATAATTGCGAACATTTACCTATTTTCAAGGATGCTGTACGGAGCAGGCAAGCTCAACTTAGATCTAACAAGGAATACAACTCTGGGTACAAGTTGACAAAAGCTGCTAATGTTAGGTAATTTCGAAACAAAATTTTGATTTAATTTTATTTGATTATACATATATAAATAAGTTCTCAATTAAAGTCAAGTTAAAATAAGTACGTATGAATCTGATCTAATTAAGTGCTGCACTTATAATTAACATACATACTAGATTATATCTATCATTATATCTGTACATTATAAATTTATCAGTACATGACCGAATGTAACCATATATAATTAAACCTCGATAACGCCATTAAAACCGGATTTCAAACTAATGATGATATTAAGTATGTATGAACATAGAATAATTTACAGAAAAAACACTTATAAAGCGCATTAACCCTTTTCATAAACCTCTGAATAATATTGTAAAAATGTATATAACTACTCCATTATTGTAACATAAAATAATACTGATGCAGCTCAATGCTACCCTTACCCAATTCGTTAGTTCGTAATTTATTCATAGTTTAGCTTATGAAAATATAATATACATGGAAAGAGAATAAGTTAGTTTTTCAAATTATTCGACTATTTTGGGCAAAACATATTCCCATGCGGGGAATCGACAACCACTAGACAACATGGGATGTTGAGATGAGAGTCGAGAAATCGGTAAGAGAACATTTTAAACTTTAAAATTTAAAGCTTTTATCCGAATTGTTAAGCTTGTAATGACATCGAAAGTTCAGTTTGGGAAGTGTAAATTACATAATTATGCAAATTATTTTTTTTAACTTAAGTGTGTTACTTGGACCGATGGAATTAATTATGCTGTCGACAAAACTAACTAGATTTCCAAAATGTTTATATTTGAGAATTAAAATTACCTTCAGTCCTCAGAAGTAACTCAAATAATAAAATTATTTTATATTAATTTTATTATTTGAGTTACTTCTTGAGGACTGATGGTAATTATATAAATTAAGTTTATAAAATTTACAATTTACGTATGATTTGGTATACTTTTCTAAACATGAACCTGATTGAAACAATTTATTAATGTATACTGCTTGATTGTAAAGAATATTTTTTATGACATGTTGAAAATTAATTATATATTTTTTTAGATATCATCATTAAAATTTCAAATTTATCTAATCATTATTATTCTAGGGTTACACTTTTTAGGGGTAATTTCATTGAAACTAAGTGGCCAATTCTGCGGTAACATAGACGGTACCATAGCGTTGTTATGGCAATTTCTTTCTTTCGTGGTACTAACAACTGTGAACCACAAAATTCGCCTCTGAAAGAGGCTTGTCATAGTGCTCGAGTACAAATAATAGATTTTTTGTAATGCGTTAGAATTATTATTTTTTCCATCGAGTATATGCACCATATTTTTGGCAAAAGAAATGGGGGATTTGTTTTTTTTTCAAAGAAACTCCTATATATATTTAAAGAAGCAGAAAAAGATATTTCCCATGCGGGGAATCGAACCCCGGCCTCCTGGGTGAGAGCCAGGTATCCTAACCACTAGACAACATGGGACTTGAAAGCAGTACCATGTAATCTGATTCACACAGTGCACGGCCTGACTTTTATATCTTTAAAATATTAAGGATTGTAAAATAAATTTATAAATGACTAATATTGACTAAAATCATAATACATCTTTTATACAATATTCAAATACAAAGAATGCCTCTTACATTTTCGTAGAGTTTATGGCAAAGTAATCCAGAAGTACAATGCGATTAATTAATATAATATTGATGAATTCTTAAAATTTACCCCAAAATCACTGACGTGCAAGTTGGATTCGTGCACTAAGATTTTTCATATCTGAATAAATACAAAATAGACTTCATGGTATAATATATTATACGGCGTTGAATTTGTCTGATATTCAGAAATGTTTCTTATGAGCTTATCTTATAAGAAAACAACAAATTGGAATAAAGATGTTGAAGTTCAAGAGTCTCAAAAATTATTATAAATTTTTTAAACTTTATCTTTTAATTTTTCTATATTTAGTGTGATATTTTTAGAATTCTGGTTCGTATTAGAATGTAACAGCTGTTTAAATGTCGTAACTCCATGCTCCATGCGGATCGCATCGTAAAACTGTACTGCATTGTACTTGTATATTAATTAAAACCAAATTACAACAAAAGACATTTTAACAAAGGCCTCCGAATATGTGGTATTTATTCAAATTTTTAATGCCTAAGAAAAGGTAATGGGTATTCTTAAATATGAATCAGAAAGTAATTAATATAGGTTAAAAAAAACATTTTAATTACCCTTTAAAAACAAACGGTCTACTTGTAGATTATTAAATTAGAATGTGTATTCACAAATTTTTATATCTGCAAATTATAGTACTCATAAGTCTAAATATTTGTATAAACTTTATACGTTTAATCTGATAATCTTATTAATATAACCCGAATATTCAAAATACTAAAACAAAACGCGTTAATTATTATCCTCGTTGCTCCAAAGCGTTTAATGATGAAATAAGCAATAAATCATTCAGGTTAATTGCGGCTGCAAAAAACATGAAAATTATTTCGGCATTTATCCAAAGGAAGATCCCGGGTATTAAATAAAAGTGAATGTGAATCTCGGCGGAAAGGAAATCGTGTTAGTGAAATTACATATTACGAATAACTTCGATAACGATCTGAAAACCTTTAATTTCGGATATGTCTTCATTTTACACGTACGAAGGCGCTCGACCATTAAACAAGTTGTTTGATAGATTATTTTTTAACTCTTTCTTTTCGAGTGTTAACTGGTTTTGTAATTTGATTATCATGGGTGGTATCGAAGAACAAATGATGATTAAAATGCGATTTGAGAAATGATAATTAGATTGAATAGAAGTTTGAATTTCAGTAGAATCGATTTTGGTAAAGTCAAAATTTGAGCATAAAAGTATTTTTCTGATTATTCGGTTACACGCTATTTATAGCGTGCTATAAATTAATTTCATTAAACAATTACTTGGATAGTTTTATGGATAATATAGTAATAAAACAAAATGTTTTATGCTGCTTTCGCACCTATTATCATTAATTTTCATACTAATGATCTCTCTGAATTATAAATAAAATTATAATTACAAAAACTGTTATGGATTAAAAACGCAATAAATTTCTGTCGCAGTTTATTAATGCGTAGAATAATTCTAAACCATGCACATGAGTTTTTGAACCATATAATGTCGTTTCTTATGCATTATTACCGCTCTAATGATACATTTAAAGTTAGATTAAGCTGCCGCAGCATGCAGGAGATAAAAGATAAAAGATTTTACGTTTCACGGTTGATAATTGCATACATAGAAGTTCCGTTGAACTATTTTATTCATTTTCATTACGGAGAAAGCCTATTTTGCGAAGGAGAAAGTACTTACTGAGTTGAACTTAATCCATTTTGTAAATCTAATTGCGACTGTTAGGGAAAAAAGAGAAGAAATAATAAATCTTATTATGTGCGATTATGAATTATGTACGATTGAAAGCACAAGAAACAATTATCGTATTTCGATTAAGTGCATTTGATTATATGGAATATTTTACAGTAATTTTATTAATAAGGTAATGGTAATGGTATATAGGAAATGCTGCACGTTAGAAAATTAACAAGTGTAATAGGTAGGATATATAATTGTAACAAATGTTTAAATTTATATTTATAAATATGTATATACTTTTATGTAAATTTTTTATACAATTTGATATGTGTTATTTTGTTCAAATGCAATTATACATATTTTAATATAAATTTTCATTATGAAAAAATTGCAAATGTGAAAAATATGTTCCAAAACTTTGGCTTGATTTCTTATTAGTATCGAATTAGTAACTATAAAATTAATGATAAATGCATATAGACCTTTAATAATATGAATATTTATGCATTATTGTAAAATGCATTTCATTTATATAAATAATATGATTATTATAGAGATAATTTAACTTCTTAATTATAAGACTATCCAAGTTTTTGAAATTTTTTTCAAGCTATGCACTATGATGCAATTTAACAAAAACTTTGATTTTCTCAGAAGTCTCATATCTGTATGTTATATAGAAGGACTAATATATATGAAAACTCACTGTTCGTTTAGACTTGCAATGATAAAAAATAATATATAACTAACGATTTATGTTATTACGCAATACTAAAAAACTATATATATGCAAATACGACTTACACTTTCCTCGCCATTATATATACAAAATAATTTCTTTAGAGCAGAATTATGCAACGTAATTCGATTATGTTCGTTATATGCGATTATGAATCATATTTATATGGATTGATTGATAAGACTTTCCTTCGAGTAAAGTGTTTAATGATTACAGCCGAGTATTAATTATGTTTCTTCGTATAATTCATAATGTTGAGTTTCCATAAAATTTTTGTATTTCCGGACATGCGCAAACTGATTTCGCTTTTGAATCTTTCGGACGTTAATTGCAAATTGCGATACGAAGCTAGAAAGTGTGAAACCGTCGGAATATATTTCTAATTTATACAATTAAATGTGTAAATAAATTTATCATTTGATGAATTTGTTCGAGGAATAATGTGCAAACGGGATAAATGATTCATAGAGGGTTGTACGTCATAGCCAAGGTTCTCAACATCATAACCAAATCATAAGAAAACTTCTAAATTTATCATTATAGAAAATACTAATTTTCAAAATTTACTTGTTATGACTAAGTAAAAGATGTTTTTTTACATTGAATTTTAGATAATATATTTAATATTTTTGAAATTATTATAATTAAATATACCTACATAATGAGTACAATGGCTACTTAAGCATTGTCTGAAATTATAAATTGATATGCCGGCAGAATTTAGTGTTATTCCCACATAGTACCAAAAAATATATTAAAAAAGATATTTTTTTTTTCTGTTTAATAAATTAATCAATTATTGGCTATTCAATCACTGATTGAACACTCATAACTTATTTTTTTTAAAGATTTTATTATATTGCTATTTAGTTAGAAGATAGAGATTATTACTGATGTTGCGGAGAGTTTAGTGTGATTTGAATCCGAAAAAAATAACATGATTATTATAATATGTTTTTTAATGTATTTATTACTTGAGAATTTAATAACAATATTGCAAGATGTTGTCAATTATTAATCTTCCCTAATTGCAACATAATTTTTTTTTCATTTATGAGATTATAGATCATTTTTTTTTGTTGTAATGTAAGGCCATAGGTCCTATTTATGTGATTATTCTAATAACTGTTGATGTAATTGATTTTGTAGACATAATTGTCTACAATGTGAGTAAAAAATTAAATACCTGCTTATATAATTTAGAACTTTAAGATAATAATCGGATAGAGTATTAATTAGGCGAAACTGTTCCCCGTTTCATTGCGGTAGTACTTATCAAACTTTCTTTGTGTATTGAAATAATTTGTAAGCAAAACACCGTTGAATATTGTGTAAATTAATAGTCTGCGATAAATTTGCCAGAGTAATTTCATATACAAAAGGAAAAAGTTTTCTGCCACTTCACATTTAATATACCTTACAGCGAAAAACGATTAAAAAAATCTATTGATACCGGCTAGAAATTTCTAATTGTCCGTAATTATTTCTTTGAGTAACAACGTATATGAAATTAGAAGAATTCATTTAGAAAACAAATTTTAGTAGTTGCAATAAGCTTTGTTAGAATCTAAATATTTTATACTAGTTATTGTGAAAACCGCTCCTAGCGAGAGACTGATATCCTCACATGAGATTTAAGTTAGACAATACCTTCAAATTGAATCTAATTATTAAAAAACTATTGAACTACATGGGTATTATCTCTATCATCTCCGATTTCCAAGATTTATTACTTTCATGATAAATTTTTTTTTCCTTCATAATCTGATAAAATTTTATAATTTAGGCGTAATACCCTGGGCCCTCGCGGGTGTGGCCCCGGTGGGGGCTCCGGCGTTGGCGTGATGGGCGGACACGACAGACGCTCAGGTGGCACTCTCGCCCTGCACTACGCAGCCGCCAGAGGATGCCTGGACTGCGTGCGGTTGCTGGTGCATTCGTCACCAGAAGTCAGGTATGAAATAAATACATTGAACAGAATTTTCTTTAGAAACGTGATAGAAAATTCTAGAAACTGAAGTGCAAATAATAACTAGTTGATTTGTTCAATACAACAAAAGCTTTTACCATTTATAAATAATTTGCTTTATCCATTAACTGCTTTTTAGAAAATGATTTAATAGCTTTTGCACTAAACGCTCGCATAAAAGTAGAACTAGCCATTTAGATAATAAACAATGAATAAATAAACTTTCAATGAATTATGATCTAGTTCTATTACTTATAACAACATGATTATGTGAAATTAATTCAAATCAATTATCTAAAGACATATACAAGATTTCATTACTATAGACCAGTGGTTTTAAACATTTTTTAAAGTCATTCTTATGATTGAATTTAAATTTTGTGGACAACAATTTCGCACCTGATGTGTTTTTTATTTAATTTTGAATCAGAAGATTTGTTGGCTTTCTTTTGAAGTTTTTCAATTTTTGGAAATTACAACATTTATACTGATGTGTGAATCAATTTAGTGTGAATAGCTTGGTTGACTAAATATATGGAAATTCTGTGAAGATAAGGGTTTGCTTCGATTATTTTACATTTTCTCCAATTAAAAAGCGTCGTACTAGAAGGTATATATTAGGTTGTCAAATATCTCCCTTCCGCTTTTTTGCTCTTGGTTTATAATACAAAAAGGCGGAAGGGAGATATTTGACAACCTTATATGTTTATTGCAAAAATATAAAATTCAGGAGACACCTGTTCTGGCACTATAATATATTTTATTTATTTTAAATAATTTATATAAATAATTTAAAATTAATAATATAAGTAAGCTAACAAAATATGAAATGCAAGCAATAATACAATGTACTTATATACTTATTTTTTGCAAAAATTCTCAATTTTGATTTTCCCAAGATTGGGAAAGACTGCTAAAGACCATATATAAATTCAAGCAGCATAATAAAACTTGTTATACTCTGAGCGAACTAATAAATTATTTAAATATCTCATACAACGCGTAATTTTCATCAATCCCTGGAGGCTGTCAATAAAAAAGTGAAATTCAAAACAGAGTTATGAGATATACAATTATTGCTTATTCATTTTTTTTCACTTGTCGGCACTTTTGTTCTCAGAGATCGTATACAGTATGTAACAATAAACAAATATATGATAATTAATTCTTTTCAGTTGGCATATCAGCTTTTACAATGACTCATAAACGAAATTTACGTTCGCGAAATTATAGAGAATTTTAAAAGGTATTATGCATATGGTGGTAAAAGATTTAATTTAAATAATAATAACTTTACTTCATAAACGCATATGACAATTTTGAAAACGCATATTATCAAACATAGTTTTTTCACTGAATAAGGCAAAACTTATGTATTTTGCGTAAACCTATATAAAAATCTCATAAAACCTAATGATATAACTTCTGATCGTTAGTGAATATACCAATAGTAAATTCAATATTTTTGTTTAAATATTAACATTAGCTGCAATAATCTTTACGAAACCAATTTCTTAAAATCAACTTTTTTATAAACTTCATTTTTAAATATCCTTACTAAAAATCTTGCATTATATATAATCTATAGTTTACTACAACAACTTTTTTTACCATTGAATTTTATTTTATACTTAATATATTATTAATCTCAAATTGATATATAAATAAATAGCTATAACTTTTAGGTTTCAACAAAAGAAAAATATTTTAATTCTTCTCGAATCGCCAATTAAAATCACAAGTATGGATAGATTGTTGTTTAACACGTTTGCTAAGTATTGATTTTGAAGTTATGTCATTAGTTAGATAATGTAAATATGTCCAAGGAATTGAAAGTTCCATATGAGGAAATTATTTACAAAATTTTATAATATATAGTCTCAATAGGCTTTTACTTTAATTATTTTCGTGACCAAACACGGTAACTTGAATCAATTAGTTTTAATCGAATGATCGATCGTTATGTAAAAGATAAATTTTATATTTCAAGTTTCTAAAGTCATATTAATAATAGAGCTTCTCTGTGCATATGGACTTCGAATCTGAGGTTTCAGATTTGATACATGTTTTGGACAGTCTGATGTCGAGCAGACAAATTATTAGAAAACATCCCTTCGAGGTATTTCTGCAATATCCTCTTTAGACAGATGACAAAATGCCTCCTAATAGTGTTCAGGATTTAAAATAAAACTCGGCACATGGTGTCATCAAATAGTAAGAAAAATCGATGGATCGCCTTTGAAAAAGCTAGATTTGTCTAGGTTAGTCATTTATCAATTTTCATTTTACGATGCACTCACAATTTTCAATTTTCCTTTATAACTTTCTTATTGTTAGTGCTACTTTTGCAACTTGATAATAAATATTACACGAAATAGAAAATTGTGATCATAAGCAATGGTTATTGTTCTCCATCGATGGAACCTATGAGTACATTATTCTCACATGCACGTAGGCTCTATTAATGAATAAATAAACAAACATACCTCTGTGAAATCATAAATCGCATTTTATATTCCAACGATCGAAATCGCGCCGCCGATGAGCCGTTATCGTTATTGTTTTGCCAATGATTGTTTATTATTATTATTATGTTTTATCAATTACTAGTGAAAGATCGACAGCTGCATGTCTGGTACGAGTAGTTAGTTGGGTATAATAAGGTAAATATATCCGGAATTTTAAATTTTCACTAGAAAGCCGCATTGACCTGAATAAGCCGGGTTTCTAGATTGCTCGTTCGACGGCTGCGAGGCTCTCGGGCTCCGTGCGATGTTTATTATAATGCGATTACCATATCGTTTAACAAGGCCTATTATCTATTAATTTCCATGCTCAAGTATTAATTGCAGAAGTGTCACACGACAGGTAAAAACGATTCGAAATCGAATAAACGATGTAATAAACAGCGTTTACGAGCAGAATTAAGTATTTAAAGTAGATACTATTTTATAACGGATACGCTATTTTATTAATTTATTACTGCAAACGTTAGCAAGTGCATTCGATTTGAGTAAATGCATTTACATATTGCATGCTATAAAACGACAGAATGGTAGGCTTGTGAATAAAAAATATTGTTGAAGGGGTAGATTTTTGGGTTGTAATTGGGTCACAGGACACACATATTGTGTACACAATCAATTTTGGACTAATTTTAAAACAATATTTTTTATACATAATATTTATCTCTGTGTTTTTTATTTAGAAAGTAATTATATTTTATTAAGAACAGATTCCAGGTTTTATTCCCCAAAAGTATAAAATATAGATCGGGGTATCCATACCAACCTTCAGATGGGAGTCCATACGACCATAACTCTAACCTCTATACCATGGCCTGGTTAGAATTGACTTTGTTTATTATTGATTACTATTAAGGCGACCATACGTGCCGATTTAGCCAGGACGGCCCCGGATTTTTACTTTGTGTCCCAGGTTTCTAAAAAGTATAGGTACTGGTTTATTATTTGCAATTACTTGATAATAAAATTACAAATTGCTCATCAAATATTTGAAAATGATATATACAACGGTTAAGTTTATGTGAAACAATACGTTATTATGAATGAGAAAATTGCCAGATGCAAAATTCCAAATTCCTGGAATTTGTATGAATTTCAATTTTGTATTTTCATTTTGTAAAATATATGGTCACCATATTACTATCTGGTTTGTTAATTTAATTATGGTAACTGATAAACTAGATCTAAACATGTAATTTTCATTTATAATTTATTTCAATATCTATAATTGAGTCATACAGAAAGTTCAATAAACTGCATTTTTTATTTGCATGAATTAATTCTACAACTATTTGATGGCGTGTAATATGAGTATATCGATAATGAATGGCGATAGGTCAAGATTTCTGAAATCGTATGAACATACTGGTTCTCTTACTCATGACCAGACATATATGAGTCACCAGAATGTGTTTAATGCATAATTAAAAATCCTATGATACAGTTTGAAAGAAATGCATTGAAGGAATTAATATATAAAATTCTCTTTTTCAATTTTTTTATATTGTGCACTCTATAACCACTGACAGCACAAGTGAGTTTAGTTTGTTCCTGACGATATGGAATAAATACCTATGTACTTCTTTAAACAAATCTTGCGGTGATATTACAAAATTAATCAAATCCGAATAATAAAATATCGAATAATAAGTGATAAGTAATTGCTCAATCTAATGTGAACTAATTTGCTTATGAAATACTTGATTTAATGATTAATAAGTTTATATTGGTGTTTTATGATTTAATAAGCGGTTAGTGGCATTACATTCAATTGTGTGATATAATATAACCCTTTACTATTTAAATTTTAACGATATTTTGTAAATCGATAAATTGTGGACCATGTTTAAATTCATTAATATGATTCTCCATATCTGTGCTGTAGTATATTACCCAAGTACAAAAATATGTATTTCAAAATGTACTATAAATTATACGGGTTTAAATTTATTGTACAGAACGAAAGTAATTAATTTTTGCGAATTTATTTAAATTAACGTGAAAGGTGAAAGTTATTTTATAACCGATACTGATAACTTCATGATTTTTTGAAATTTTATTTTTATTTTATCATAATTAATATACACAAATTATAAAAAGCATTCTTTGAAGATTAAAATTATAATCTATAATTACAAATCTACAATTTTATTAGTATAAAAAAAGATGTGCTATTGAACATTATTTTTCAAAATCATAATTTTTAAGAAAGCATTTACTTATATAAAATGTTAGTTTGTAGTTTGCATGAAATTTGGTTAATTAATAATCTTCACTAATTTTAAGAGCTTGCATAGATCCATTAGGTTCAAATTTGACGAAACTCTAGAAAATCTTTATGAATTTATAGCAGAGTAGAGTAGTCTTTATTAATTGAGTTAAATATAAAAGACATTAGAGCAACAGGCCAATTTAAAAGAGTATTATTTAGGAATTGGATACTTGAAAAATAATTTGGTT